TAGCGCCACAGGCTACCTATTGGATATATGAGCGGCCGTATGGTGTGGGCACATGGAGGTTATTGGAGGTTTTCTATGCCTAGATGGCGCTATACTCGTTTATTCTGTGGTTTAGACTCTGTGTCGCTTACACTTGTACTTATAGCGCACGCTTCCCACACTTTTAGCAGTTATCCGAACATGATACTCTTTTAGTCAACTTTTACTTTCGTTCCATGGGTATTGCGCCCATTTCATTGCGCGATATTTCCAACATATACATCTCTCTCTCCCTATTTCCAACAGTCGCCACACATACGAAAGTTGCCTTGATATGTGTAATTATAGGGCTTTTTCAATGCATGTTGCACTTCTCCCATGTGCACGCCCATAAGCGTATAGACGCGCACGGAATAGCTTGATAATTCGGTCTGACTTGCTAATGAAATCTATGCGTGGTATTAACTGGATAGATGACGTGAGGATCTCGTAAGCAGATAAAAGGTGGCTGAGGATAAAAGGAAGAAAAGTCCAGGTACTTGGCTGCGTTTGTTTACTAGTTCTATTTAATTTAATTATCCAACTAGATTGATTGAGTTCCTTTGCGTCAACCAACGAACACTTCTACGTATTGACAAGGCGTACATGAAGGCGATTACCCTCTATAATTATGGTGCAGCGATAGACATGTGGTTAGAAAATAAGTGTCAGAATAGAGCAAAGATAGGTGGGCTGCAGCGCAATTAGAACAGAGAGTCTAGTTGAAATGACTCACAAGAACTAAAGGTTTGAGTCATGGGTAATAGAAATGCATAGAGACACTAAATTTTCGAGTGAATACTAATGGTAGCTAAAGGTACGAAAGGTGACCAGGGATGATCCGAAAATGTTTGTTATGACGAAAAACTAAGTACGGAGAAATCTGCATTTGTAGACTAAGCCATCCTATATATACATGATTCCCTTCTAATTGCTCATCACAATATAGGCCTCTCCTCCGTCACAACACAATACCCAGTGCTAGGAACCGCGATGTTGCCATAGCAGCATGAAAAGAAGAGTAAAGATACATATCAAACTAGGGATAAGAAGGCGAGTCCTTACAATAGGCCTCAAGCTAACTTATATACACCTTCGGGCCTAAGTCATAGCAAGAGAGATTGAAGTGATGGTGTATCAACGTGTAGCATCATCTGCTAGCATCGATGCTTATGATTTCACCATTGGATTCGTAAAAGTTATGGCCGTCGGATATCTGAGCCCCGTCCTTCCAGCTGCCGGCGATACGACGCAGATAGTAAATTCTTGCGTGCTGGACGTTGCGTCGAGCGGAGACAACTTATCAGTCGGATAGACTCAGTCAAGATTTCTCAGGAAAGGAAATCGATCTTTCCCTATATCGCCAGTCTTTATTGTTATAATATGGGACAACGAGGTAATCGAGGTTAGGGCATTGCGTGTGGCTCGAGGCCACAGCTTACATCACTAGTGTACTGGTTAGGCGAGCATGTATATATCTTCAAAGATGTAGCCACAGTTAAATGGATACAGGTTTAGTCTTATATTTTCTATCCATATACCTACAGCATAATGTTGTATGAGTCTATTCACTGTCAACCACTAAATATAACATCATCCACTCCTCATCACTCCGCAATGTGACTTCCGCATAGCTCATAACCACAATATTTATCTCATCCCACTGTAGATCCTCCTGATTTCCCCCTGCTCTTCTTTCACACTTTATCCTCAGCCTAGACTACTTGATATGTGAATTCCCTGACAATGATGAGACCATGTAAGAAACTAATGACATCAACTATGCTTCATCGGTGTTCCCGAAGCTGGCTCGGCCTCTAGTCAATTCCGTCTCTCTTTCTGGCCTTCCGACGACTTCGATCCCTAGCTCAAGCAAATAACACCTGACAAATTCACCAAAATAAGTAATCGTTATAAGTAAACTTATGCTTGCACAAGTCTGAACCCAGCCCAGAAGTGAAAGAACGATCTACACAGAGACGTATCTATCTAATAATGATGATAGTGATATATATAGATAGAGTAAGTGTTTATTGTCCTAATAAGTCTATGACTATGTAGGTACATGTAGGTCCTTTCTGCCTACAGGCCGGGAGTATCCATGTCTCGGGAAGTGTACTCCCTCCTTTGCCTCCTTCACAGCTTCTTTCCAGCAGTAATACCCCCACAGGTCTTCATTCGAGTACACACTAAGAGAAGCTGTTATCCTGTCATTATCTCCCCTCTCCAGCCAGAAAAGCGATGGCCATCTGAGGGTGTGAAGCTGCAGGGAAAACTCTCAAAACCCACTGATTGCGGGGCTCTCCTATGACGAAGAGACTGGCCAGCCGGGCGCAGCAGACCTGTATATACCTAAGAGCGTCTCTCAACCTTCCTAGCCTCCTCTTTACTCCTCCCCTGATTCATGCTGCGGGACAAACCGAAGGTCATGAAAGGATGTCAGAAAAGTCTTGGTCGAGAGTGACTGACGTGAAGGAGCCTAGCCTAGCATCCAAAAGTCGTTACGGACGTGGGGTCGTCGAGTAACTCGTGTATTTCAGATGCCCTCCTGGCTAGTAGATTCGGAAGTTTAGGTTAGTAGGGACGATATTTTTGACGATTCGAAATCTTCTCTTCTTGAGGGTGGAAGGGTCTTTTACTTTGCTTTCGTGGGCTTTTTGTTCGCCCGCCGATGGGTAGCACATGTTGTATTATAACGAGGGCTTATCTGACTACCGTCATAGCGTTTGGTACCGCATTATCTTTCATCATTCCCAGCATCATTATCATCGTCTTGGTCGACTTATGTGTTATCGCAAGTGTATCTTTGACAGAGGGGAAGATAACTCAGCTCAAAGTTGAAAAGGTGTTACTCAATCTCGGCTCTGCAGACCCTACAATGAGAGCTGGAGGGGAGGGCAAGACTGAACACCTGTCAGTGGTGCTCTCTACGAACCTGGGAGTGAAAAATTCCCCCAGAGCCAAGTTCAGTCAAATTTCGCAATATCAAAGAAGTTGGCCCACGAGGCAAAATTTCAAATTACTCCACCATGTCAATCTTTCACTCCCAAAAAGTCCGATTCTCAACTAAGCTTCATCAAGTCTACAAGTACGACCTAGTACATCCTCGTTTCAATGACCACACCTCTCGTCGACTTTCTCTGGCCTCAGCCGGTCACCAAATACACGCCCACGCCGATGTTTACACCCGACGGTGGAAGCAAAGCGTGGAGCACAGTTTTGGGAGATAGCTCTTTAGGACCGACGTGAGAGGGATCAGGACAAGTTTACAAGATGATGCAGAAGAGGGATACATTTTCGACGGGCGTGAAATTTCGGAAAGAGTTTTACGAACTGAGCTTTGTGCGCGCCAAGACTTCACTTGCAAGAGTGCAGCTGACACTATAAACACAAGCCAACGATGGAAGGTGTTGTGAACCGCTTGCTGGCGATGTTCTCTGGTATGGTTTGAGTAGCCTGGGCACCTACTCCACTTGGGAAGGAGACACCTCAGATTACATTTCGCGCGGAGAAAAGTTGATGAATGACGGAGGCATGTCTGGATAACTCAGGGTTTTTGAGACGTTCCCCTGGGTGGGTATTCACGGATGAGGGTTGACTTGGGGTGAAGAAAAAGCCACCATAACTTCGCAGTGGTACTTGCAAAGGAAATCCGAGGCATGAGTGCTCCTCTTGTAAATTGAGTCATCTTTTCTGTACTTTTCTTTGATATTGTGTCATGGCTAGAAAGCTGCATACACAATTAAAATCTGATGCAAAAAAAAAAAAAAGAGAGCTGGAGGTTTGTGGGGGACACCACTGATAGGTGTTGAGAATAGTCCCCCTAATAATGATGATCAGGGGCGTTAATAGGGCAGAATTAGATACTACAGTGCTACGATTGACTCATAGTATGGAAAAGTCAATCATTCATTCTTGTATTCGCTTTTACCTTTTGACTATTCACTTGACATTCACACGAAACCTTCTCAAAGTTTTACAATTGTAAATCTACTGACATGGAACCTAAATAGAAAGAAATTTTGGTTAGTACAAATGTAGGATTCTTTGGAATTCACATCTTCACTGCCATGATGATACATTGAAAATTACAGAGATAACTGTCTTCATTATCTTAGATTGGATAAAGGTGTTCGTAGAGGAAATAACTAGCGCTTAGAATAGATCGTCCTCGAAACAAGATGTAGGTCTAGTACCAGCGCGAGTCCACACAGTGCCAACACCGCTTCTCCTTCAAGGCAAACTCCTGTTATAATTTCGCTCACAAGAGCCCGAGTCATTAAAGTTCAACTTTTAAGTCCTTCATCGAAGATTTATGGGTCAAAGTGAGGATAATTACAAGTCACCCGTACTCTAGATGCCCACAACCGAAAGATATTTCAAAATTTTCACAGACACTACGAATGCCTAGACACAAAATTTTTGAGTTGATTTGGGGTTTTTTAAATAACAATTTTCTCGAATATTTGCTAAGGTTTTACAGTAAAGGCCAAGAGACTTTGCTCATATATTCTATTCGTTTATCATACAAAAATTGTGCTTTCTTTCCTTTCAGTCTTCTACCTATTTACAATATCAACTCAACTTAGTAATACGCCATTTATAAACATAAATATTTATACCCTAGCATGTCTCTAATTTTATCAGAATATAGCAATCACTCATTTATATTTTTTCATAGCTTTGACGCTCTGTTTGAATAGTCCGTATAGGCCAAGCTTTATTTTGTGAAGCTGGGAGGACATTGATAGTCACTAAGTTTGTTAGTTCTATCAAAAATACTACATCTACGATGACGAACCTTATTTTGAAGTTTTACAACCTCACGATCACATCCCTTGCCCTCATGTACTACTTTTAGTTGGGGGAGGTTTTGATTAAGAGCGATACTTTTGTGCACCGAGGGAAACTTATCAAGTCCAATCTTGATAGGTGCACATGTAGCGTCGAAGGACACTTGTGGGTCTTTTTTCGTATTGAATTCATCGGCGATTGAAATTAAGAAATCGAGACTGAGGTTCAAAAACGTTAGTTTTTAATAATGTATCAATAATGACAACACCTACCGCCAAAAATAGAATGATCAGGTTACCACCAATCATTGCTGTAAAGATACCCGTATCCCTCCATCGGTTACTAAAATCCAAGAGCAAATTTTTATAAAACTCTTGGCCAACCTTGTATGCACAGTATTCGCACGAACTACTGTTGTCATTGACTAGATAGCCATTGCCACCGTTTTGGAAGAAACTTTTCATGTATGTACCACATGTCTGACCAAGAGGAGCAGTGAAGCGATTCAACTCCGATGATTGGCACGTGACTGTACGTCCATGAAGTTCCGTCACGATCATTCCACCAACTAATCGCGTGAATGGATCTAACTGATAGAGCCATTGCAAAAAGCGTGGAAGCTGGGTAGGGGCAATAGTCACCCCACAGAATAGAGATAAAGTTATCATAACAAAAGGGTTAATAAAGCCTGCGATGAAGGGACTTGGCGTTAGAGCTGCTATAAATTGGCCTAGAGTCACCTAGCAATCGAAGATTAGTTATATATTTTTCTATCCGCATAAAGCAGGATCCTACTCACAGAAAATAGTTCCATCAGTAATATCATGAGGAATTGATAGCCCGCACGTGCTGGCGCAACAAGAAAGCCAGGCATATAGTAGATGGGAAGAAATAAAGCTAGTGCACAAATGATGCTGTAAGGTATTTCGGCAATGACTAGGGCGGAGCTGAAGACGAACTGGCCATACATTTTTGCTGATGCTTCGCGGTAATAGATCATTCGGGAAATACCGTATTTGAACTGCACCTGCGTCTATAAATATAAAATTAGTCTTCTGACTTTAAATTAAGATCGAATGTGAAGAATTCAAATTGCACATACAAGTATTAGTGACGGTATTATTGAGATTTGGAAAATAACAAAAATTCGATACTGGAGAGATGTCCGCGAGTCATCGAGATTCATAAAGATTAGCCCCGTCATGAGAGCTATTATTACGTGGTTGAAGAGGCGGGTGAAGCCATAATTCGGCGAACGCCAAAAGGATAGATGAGTGCGTCTTTGAACTACTTTCATCTGGTGGAGAAATGGAGCAGCAAATTCTTTCTCTTCCATTCTTACATTGGCTTGTACTTCTTCTAATCGGCGAGCCTTCATTTGCATAATATCTTCTTTAATCCTTGCAAATTCTGACGAGTTAGCCCAAATATCAGCCCAGTCTCCGCTGCCAATCTGGGCTCCTGTACCCGCACCAATAGCTTCTAACATCCATTCGGCCTATAATTTGAGTGTTAGAGAGACTGTGCTTAAAAATTTCGTGATACAACCTGAGCTAAAATCATATACAATGCACTCACCATATTAGCATCGGGTGGACAAATCGCACCACGCTGCTCAAGGTAATGACGAAGGACACTAAAATCTTCTCCAATATCACCAAAATAAACTGTCCGACCACCACGTTGGAGTAATAGTAGACGATCAAACTTTTCAAATAGTGCTGTATTTGGTTGATGGATAGTACAAATGATAGCTTGACCAGCATTGGCAAGTTTTTTTAAAAATCGAACTATGTTGAAAGCAGATTGTGAATCAAGGCCCGATGTTGGTTCATCCAAGAACAGAAGTAATTCTGGCTTTGCCGCGAGCTCAACCCCGATAGTCACACGTTTTCGCTGCTCCACCGAAAGGCCCGTGTCAGGATCACCGATAATAGCATCCGCCAAGTCTTCCATTTCAAGCAAGCTTAAGACTTCCTCAACATAGGCATACTTCTCCGACTGTGGAACTTCAAATGGTTGTCTCAAGTCAGCTGAAAACCTGAGCGCTTCGCGTACTGTCTGAGTCGGTTCATGGATATCTAGTTGTTCTGCATAGCTCGTGCCACGCTGGAATGACGTTCCTGGTTTTAGCCCATCAACCAAGATATCCCCACCAATCACACCTACAGTCTTTCTAGCTGCCAAAACGTCGAGAAGAGTGGTTTTTCCAGCCCCTGATGATCCCATGAGTGCTGTGAGTGATCCTGGACGTATATATCCAAATATATTGTGAAGAAGACGTTGCTGCCCGGTAGGTGTAGGAACATCATAGCATAAATCTTCCCACGTAAGCGTAGCTTTGGAATGAATAGTCACGCCGGTATTTGACGTGCTTTCAGCTTCTTCCATATGCCGCTGATCGCGTCGATGTACCAAATTAGCATTGAGTTCTTTACGTTCCTTGTTAGGCCTCTGAAATACGGTGGCAATGTTACCTCCGGCCCCCCAAGTCAACCATTCTCCAGAAAACATATTGGTGATTAGGAAAAAAGCAAGAAGTAATAATATAATCCCAAAATTTCTCCAAAGGTCTTCTGGGTAATAAGAAAAAGCTTTCTGAGTATATTCAGAGCCAGATATTTCGAGAGTACCAGCTACACTCCCAGGCAAAGTGCATACCTGGTGGGAGATGTTGTTGTAGCCACTACCTGATGGAGTCAAGGACTCAGCCGTGCAAGTCAGGTTTATCCGACTGAATTCATTATTCATAAGTGATGAGAAGCCTAGTCCAAAGGGATTAATGTAGAAAAGCCATCTGAGCCAGGGTTTTTGAAATTGGTACTGTATTAGATATCCAGTGGTGAGAATAAGCAAGATAATCATGGTGGAAGCAAATTTTATTGCATAGTCGAAATCGGGGGAGACACAGCCGATTGTTCTGAACAAAAGAGTCGTTGCAAGATATGTAACTACAATAACTAAATAAAAAGTGAAGAACGCACCAGCCTCTCGTACTAGTCCGCACATAAAGTAGACAATCAGGCAAAAGACAAAGATTTTTATCGAGGCAAAAGCTACGTCCACAATAATTTGTGCAAGCCACATAGCCGATGGCCGATAAAATGCGTAAGCTCGCTGTTTATTAACTACATCTCGACCGGTCATTGTTGGTCCTAGTTCAGCGAAGGCCTGAAAAGCATTAAATAAAAGTGCTGTAAATAAGATGCCACCTCTCGTGAAGGCACCTGCTGAGGTTTGAGGTAGGCTTAACCAGATTGTCCCGATGAAAACGGCAACTATAATTGAAGTTGCCCATGAAACAACCATGGTAAACTTGTCTTGCCATTTCATAAGAAAACAACGGGACATGAGTGTTACGACTTGACGGTAGAAAGGAGCATTATAGACAGACTTTCTTGAGGCACCTTTCATTTTAGCGTCTTCTACGGCAGTCTGGAAATTCAGGTGGGACTTTGTCTCGTCCCTCAACTGTTGTCGATAGAGGGCCATCTCTATTTCGAGCTCTTCTGCTTGGCGCGATTGATTAAATGCTGCTACAAATGTTTCAGGGGAGTGCGGCGCATTTACAGCCGAATAACCTTCAGCATACTCTCGCTCAAATTTGTCTGTACAGCCCGTTATATAGTCCGGAGTGCTCATTCGTAATTTTGGCCGGAATCCCAGATTCTCAAAATAGGCACGTGCTTCGCTAGCAGGCCCAAAGAAAACCTCCCGTCCATCATCAATCACGAGAATCTTATCGAATTGCCGGTATATGTTCTCGGAGGCCTGATAGAGTGAAACAAATGTTGTCATTTTGTAAATATCTGTCATTATTCGCAAGGACTTGGCGTAGTCAAGAGCAGTTGAAGCATCTAGGCCACGAGTAGAGTTATCCCAGGCACAGACAGTTGCTGAAGTAGCCAACATTTCGGCTATCGAGACACGCTTGCGTTCACCCCCAGATACGCCTCGGATGAAGGGACCGCCGACCATGGTGTTTCTAGTGTGTTCAATTTTGAACATTTTCAGTAGTGTTCTTATGACTTCCTCTTTAAAATCAGTTTTCGACAATCCCCCTGGCCGTTTTCCTGGCATTTTTGAGTCGAGGGCGAATTCCAGAGTTTGACCGACAGTCATGGTAGGGAAATGAACGTCATCTTCTTGATTATAAACAGTCTCGCCACGATAGCGCTTGGAAAATGTTTCGGAATCGAAGGGGCCATAGAGAACCTCTCCATCAACACTCGTGTAGCCGAATCTCTGGTTTGCTATTACCTTGAGAAAAGTTGTGCATCCTGAGCCGGGGCGACCGAGGACCAAAACCATCTCGCCAGGCTTTGCAACACCACGGAAAGAATCTAGAATAGTGACTTTTTTCTTATTCTTCCTTAATCCTAGTAGGCCTGAGATGGTACTGATGATATTAAAAAAAGATATTATGGCATCGAGGAATGTCTTGACATAATTTGAAGAGCCACCCGACCCAAATACACTAAGATTCTCCCATATGACACCAATATGCTTGGGACGCATACCACTCTGCTCTGCTACCTATCCAACAAAAACATCAGTAATTTGTTCCCTTCAGATATGGCGGTCGAAAGATGGTTCTGAGTGAAAAGAGAATGAGATGGGCTCGAATATGCTCACCAACCATTTTCCTCTCAACGTATCCTCTAAGCTAAAACATTCAGTAATTTCTGAGCCAGCCAAAGAATCACCCCGCTCTAAGTCGGGCCTCAGCGATTGATTCTCGTGATCATCGGCACTTGTGGCTGTTAGCCTTCTCTCTAGATCTATATATTCTGTCTCGGAGGCCTGAACATCGATTTGACTACCCCCAGGTCGGATATCATCGACGGGTTGAATATTATCTGTCTTTTCTCGCCCCAACTTTAATCGTCGTGCAGCCCTAAGGCGAGTAAATCGATCGCTGGAGGATAGATCATGATCCATGGCTATGCAGCCAGCCCTATTGGTTTTATTGACCGGCAGAATTTGGCGCAGTTTGAGGTACTCAAACTATAGTGCCTTATTCCTCGGACCGAGTTGATAGTAGGTGGTTGCAGAGGAAGTATCGATTTCAGAGGAAGAGAAGGATGATAAGTAGACCGCAGAATAGGAAGGAGCAGATGTAAAATAAGAAAGCGGGAATTGCTCGGTTTGGAGTGATTCATATTAATAACGATTAGATGGTTATTTTTAATAGAGCCAAGTCTTGAATGAAATAATTGGCCACAAATAAGCTACAACTACCTACGATGCCATCGCTTCTATGACTCAAACACGCAAAGCGAGAACGAAAACGAACAAAGAAGATACAGGCCAAAGAAGGCTTGTGAGCCATCGTTAGCTTCTAACCAGTAACAAATGACCTTGCAATCTGATACTCTAATTCCCTCTTTCACTCTCGTATTTTGCCCTCAGCCAGCAACCCTGAAGGACGATCTAGCTTCGTGCTAAACAAAGCGTATCGAAGACAGTTGCCCTGTATATTTTGGGAGGCTAGTATTTAATGTTTATTAGCCACTTAATGCGCCACTTCTGCACCCCACTAAAGGGTATACAACCATGGGATATGAATCATGGATATGAAAGAAGGGAACGAGAAAGCCTATCAAACATGACTATGAGCGTGGTTGGGTACAAGGTCGAGCTGATAGTAAGATGATGAAATCTCCAGGTCATGTCCACAAGTGCCTGGGATCCATTCTTTTTTTTTTTTTTTTTAAATCATTAAGTGTATGCAGCCTATCTAGCTATGACACTGGGATCCATTCGCCGATGCAGCGAGAGTACAAGATCGAGATAGGGCTATCTCTAAGCTAGAAGCATCTTGGTAGGTTTTTTGAGCGCAGTATGCAGACTGCTCGAGGGGGATTGCGGAATAAGGTGCAGGCTGATGACGACGGACGTAGCGGTAATGATTGTGGAAATATGATAGAGGATGGGAGACGTCGATGGCAGTTGCTCCATGTGACCGGGGTAGGTGCATATGCATAATTCGTAATCATTGCTATCCATGTCACACTTAGTGCATTGTTCACGTCGAGGTGCATCGTATTAAAGGTTGTCACGTCTTTTAATTCCCTCATCGACCTGACATGTAGGCCCTGGCCAATTGTGGAGGGCTCGTGACTCATGCCGGAGCGGAAAGGTAAGACTTGGGTCATGCACGGGCTCGATGGCGTGGACCGCTAGGCTGGAAACTACTGTGATCACGTTAGATCGTTATCATGGTGTTTCCAGATTGGAGGCGACCAGCTAACTTCAGCCGGCAATGGGTATCTAGAATACGTGAAACTCTATATCATGATAGCCAACTCAGCGGGACCCACGCCTAGTTCTGGCCGCTCGAGAAAAGGTGACTTACGTCGATCGGTCTAGTTTATCCACAAACAAGTCAACTTGACTCTCGTTGATCAGGCTCCAAACGGGAAAAGAATACGCCGCGCTGCCGTCAACGTATTTGACTCTTGACATACTGCCAAGCCTATCTTCTCCTCTTTTACACCAGCTCTACGAGACCATTCGATCCTACCCCCTAGAATACCATCTAAACTTCACTATTCGGTGAACGATAGAAGCTATGACGAGTCATGAAAGAGGTAGGGAAAAGGTGCCTACGGGCTGGGAAGCTCTGGGAATCCGGCGGATAGCCAGAAATAAAGATGGCAGGGTCCGCTGCAAAGAAACAATATCGAGCAGAAGTACATGGATGCCCTGGGAAGAGAATGTACGTTCTAACCCCTACCTATTATACGAGGATAGAAGAGGCATCACCAAATCGAAAATGAGGAATATCAGACGGGTTTCTGGTAGAATTGATATCCGATCCGGTGCCATAGAGCAGGCAGGCTACAGCTTTAGTAGAGCTAAATCGTCTAGAAAGCTCTCTATCTATGCCGCAGTGAGTAAACTGGTTTACAACAACTTCTCAGCTCCTAAATCAAGCGAGGAATTTGTATCTATAGGTCTTGAACTACGAACAATACCATTTAAGACCTAGCAGCGACAAGAATTCTACAAAAAATATCCACATTTCTCACAAGGACTACAAGAATCGAGTCAACTTTCGGCGTTAGCGAAAAAATAAATGAGGACTGGACGAACGAGGAGCAATAATTTAAAATAGATAGGCGAGTTATCATGCTCCAGATCTTGTGCGCTCCTGACGTTCATGTAGACTGATCAGTGTATAGTCAAAAATATATACATTTCAATGGACAATGCGCCATTCAGCTAAGAAGCGAGTATATCGGGCTCACTTCTTGCCTGTACAGAAGAAAACAACCCGGAGTAGAAAAGCTTAGCTGTCGATGTGGATATCCGTCACAAAACGTCAAGCTCATGGTCTTGGCGTGTCCCCAGTGGGCAGGTGGAAGAGACGACTTTCTCCTACAAGCTAAAGACACGATAATTGAAGCGATGATTAACAGCCTAGAAGATGTGGCTAGAATCGCATAGTAGATACCAAGAAAAAGATGGCTAAAACAGTTTCGACTAGTAGGGGAAGGCGAGGTATCAAAGTCTGATATAATCAAACGATATAGAAGAGGAGAGAACGGAATCCACACTAGCTGACGGGATCTGCACTTGCCGAAGATAAACAAGACAAGTTGAAACTAATTGAGCAGACAAGATCAGGGGGTTTTCACCAAAATGATTTCCTCCTTTGTAAATAATAAAGATAGTCACCTACATGGACCCATAGGGTGCCTCATCGGATTAACTAAAAATAAATTCAATGGACAACAGCTATTTACAAAGCGAGGCGAGATCAAATCGAATATTACAGATATTTTCATGCGGTTATTTTTTCCCATAGTTCTGACTCCGAGACTAAATTAGAGCATTATTCTTTACTACCTAATGCCTAAATAGAGCTATGCATCGTGTAGTACATTTCTTCGCCTGGCTGCCTAACGGCTCTCATTCAACAGTACCACCAATCACAGGTCGTCATTTTTTTCGAATATTTAGTAGAGCCGTTTAGCCTCCATTATGTTTTGCAGCCAACGAGATTTAGGGAATTTATTAGAATATGATTCCTCTAGACGGGTAATACAGTAGTACTGGAAGTAGAATTGATAAAGTATAGGGTTAACAGAACGTGTATATTACTCTGCTCGCTCAGCATTCACGGAAACATGCTGCGACTATGCTCCTACTAATATGTATCTACCAGCCTCGCCTACACGCTAATATGAAACTACTAATACAGGGTATATAAGATCTCCAAACGCCTTACCCATTTTACTCTTAGGTAAACACTAATCTCAACTATAACTTCATGGTGTTAAGGCACGGGGGGGATTATGTTTTACCAACAATCTTATTGTTTAACAGAATTTATGGTTTCATAGTAGCCGGGAGGACTCGGAAAATTCCACTGAAAGCGCAGGGCTGCCCTTTCCCTATATTAAGACTAAATCCTAGACATGGCTACGCCCCTCAGGTAGTCAGAGGAGTCGGTTAGCCGGCCGCTGTAAACTTGTTCACACCTATGGGTGTCACTATCTACCTTTTAAGTCTCCTTCCAGCCTCTCCGTCAATTTGCTCCGTAGCATAAAGCGAGCATCGTGGGGGGTTATAAAAAAAGTTCTGGTCGAGAGTGATGGCGGTGAGGAAGCAAAGCCAGGCATCCAAATCCCCATTGAGCATGTGGTCTCAAGTGAGTAATACGCTATGGAATTCCCATAAAGTGGTTGTATAACATTTAAGAAGATGGGCGATTTATTGACGGCTCGAATGCTGTATTTTGGAGATCAGAAGATCTGTCGCTTTACTTTTGAGAGGTTTACCTTGACCCTCGAGGGGTGCTGTAGGTTTAGATGTAACGAGGGTTTACCCAAATACAGATGTAGCGTTTGGTACTGGAATCTTTTATCGCCGAGCAAGTATTATCATCCTCGTAGAGCTTATTGGCAGTATAGCCTTCATAGTTAGGGACACAATTCAGCCCAAACGCGAAAAGGTATGTGACTAGAGCTTGGCGCCAGAGACTTACGGGGTGAGGACTGAAGATTCGTGGGGGACACGGTTGATAGTTTCTTGGTGTTTTTACCTCTAGGCGTCTCATGGGCCGGTCAAGGACCAAAGAAGAAAAGCACAGCGTCAAGATTCTTATGTCGAAGAAGCTGTCAGATTTGATGGAAGGTGAGAGGGACGATTAAAGCCTGTAGTGTTGGGATATGGAGTCTTCCATATCTCCCTACGTTTCAAGGATATTACATGGTAGTAGACCTGGCAATGAGTTTTTCGAATTAGGCTTTGTGCCCGCCAAGACTTCGCTTGCGAGAGTGCAGTTGACACTTTAAAAATAAGCAGACGATGGAAGGTGTTGTGGTCCGCCTCCTGGTGATGTTCTCTGGTATGGTTTCAGTAGCATGGGCACCTACTCCACTTGGGAAAGAGACACCTCAGATCACATATCGCGCGGAGAAAAGTTGAAAGATGATGGAGGCACGTCTGGATAACTCAGGGTTTTGGAGACGTTCCCCTGTGTGGGTATTCACGGATGAGGGTTGACTTGGGGTGAAGAAAAAGCCGCTACAACTTCGCAGTGGTACTTGCAAATGAAATCTGAGGCATAAGTGCTCTTCCCTTACGTTGAATCATCTATTCTGTACTTTTCTTTGATATTGTGTCATAGATAGATAGCTGCATACGCAATTAAAATCTGATGCAAAAAAAAATTAAAAAATGGTAGTAGACCTAGTGATCTCCGCGTTGACAAATATGCGTGGCGGGAGCTGAAGACTCTATGCCCGTCAGCCTTGTGCCCTACGAACCCCGAGCTCTCAGCGTGGAGTGTACAGGGTGAGGATCGGGTGACAGCCCAGCCGTGAGAGCAATTCTATTTGAGGAGTCGACGATATTCCCTGAGACCAAAGACGGCACGAGAAAGTCGAGTAAGGCTACTCTACACCATGAACCCTCTGTGATGACTTTTC